CAGTGATATGGAAGTCTCCCCAAGAGTAATTTAAAATGCTCAACAAAGGTAATTTCTGTTGAGTAAGATCCGAGCCCAAATTTGGGAGTTATGATGAATTGAGTAGGAGGAGCCCAATGACGGCAGCTCACTCAATAAAAACCTGTAACTTACTGTCCCAATTTGGAGGTGACTTCACTTGCAGAACAACGAAGGAAGAATCGCAAGTATAAGTTCAGATTAGATTGATCGCCTAATCAAGCCTCTCCGTGAACACGAATCTCTTAGTTCACGCTGAAGCCGCGGAGCGCCCGAAAGGGACTGAAGGAAGGGGACGTAGTCCTATCACTGGTGAGCCCAGCTCATTGAATCGTATTGCTGAGGCCAGCCTATTGAACCGTACTACTGAGGCCAACCCATTAAATCGTACTACTGAGGAATGAAACCATATTTTGGTATTTGGCTTCTCGGAATTCTAGGATTGTAAGTATATTATGAAAAATAACAGTATTGATTCAAATTTAACTTTTAGTTGTAATTGTAGTTGTTTTTGTAACACTAATTCTTATAGCATTGTTTGGGAAGGAAGTGCATTCGGAGCATTGTTTCTGATATATGTAATTATTGTGTTTTTAATGTTTGTGGTGTTTCTTAAAGCTAAGCAGTGTTATATACGTAGCAAAGAGTTTTAAAATAAAATTGTGTTGTATAAATTAAGTGTGTAATCATTGTGAAATCGTGCAATCAGCTAACTACTCCCCCAGCCAGTGCATCAAAACGAATCAGTAAATTGTGTGGGATTTTCTCTATTCCATAACCCACTAGAGACAAGGCTGAGAGCCATGGGACTCTTCAGCCTGGAAAAGCACAGGCTCAGGGGTGATCTGGTGTCCACCTACAAGTTTATCAGGGGTGCTCAACAGGATCTAGGGGAACGTTTGTTCACCAGAACACCCCAAGGGATGACAAGGTCGAACAGTCATAAACTCCACCATGTCCATTTCAGGCTGGACATAAGGAAGAACTTCTTTACTGTCCGAGCCCCCAAGGTTTGGAATAGACTGCTGCTGAAGGTGGTTCAAGCACCTACTTTGAACGCCTTCAAAAGACATTTGAATGTTTATCTTGCTGGGATCTTATGATCCCTGCTGACTCCCTGCCCCTGGGCAGGGGGCTGGACTCGATGATCCTCCGGGGTCCCTTCCAGCCCTAATGTCTATGAATCTATGAAAGACAAGTGCAAAGTCCTTCACTTAGGATGGAACAATCCCATTCACCAGTACCGGCTGGAGGCTGACTGGCTGGGCAGCAGATTTGCAGAAATGGACCTGGGGGTTACCGTGAACAATACACTGAATATGAGCCAGTAGTGTGCCCTTGTTGCCAAGAAGGCTCACAGCTTCCAGGGCTGCATTGGTAGGTGTGTTGCCAGTAGGTCCAGGGAAGTGATTATACCCTTCTATTCAGCACTGGTGAGGCCACATCTGGAGTACTGTGTTCAGCTTTGGGCCCCTACTACAGAAAGGATGTGGACAAATTGGAGAGAGTCCAGTGGAAGGCAACAAAAATGGTGAGGGGGGCTGGGGCACATGACTTCTGAGGACAGGCTGAGGAAACTGGACTTATTTAGTTTAGAGAAGAAAAGACGGAGGGGACTTAATAGCAGCCTTCAACTACCTGAAGAGGGGTTCGAATGAGGATGGATCTAGACTGTTCTCAGTGGTGGCAGATGACAGAACAAGGAGCAGCAGTCCAAAATTGCAGCAAGGGAAGTTTAAGTTAGATATTAGGAAGAATTTTCTCACTAGGAAGGTAGTAAAACACTGGAACAGGTTACCCAGAGAGGTGGTGAAATCTCCGTCCATGGATGTTTTTAAGACCAGGCTGGACAAAGCTTTGGCTGGGATGATGTAGCTGGGGATGGTCCTGAATTGAGCAGAGGGTTGGACTAGATTACCTCTTGAGCTCCCTTCCAACCCTAATTTTCTACGAATTATACACCAGTTTTTTGACAAGATTTGATTACAGATTTTTCACTTGGCGTTTGTATTATGTTGTAACTTCTGGCAAGTTATATTGTTTTAGAGTTCTGTTTTAACCTGTTTTAAAAGTATGTAATGATGCTACATTATACTCTTTTAAAGAATAAAGTATAATGTAGCATGGTAGAGTTCAACATTTTAGCCCATTTTTAAATGTATACTTTTATAGAAATTTTTATTTGCAGATGTGTAGTTTAGGCAAGTGAATAGTCTACCTCAGTGGTGGTCAACCCTTTTGACCCCATGGGCTAGACAAGTGGTGCAGGGCGGTCCATGAGCCAAAATAGCCCTGCATACCAGGCCCTGGCTGGCCCTGATTGGCCCTATGCTGGCTCCTATATGCCTGGATTGGGCTCTGTTCTGTCCCTGCCTGTCCCTGTGCCCCAGGATCAGGGCCCATGTCACCCTGAGCACCCCATGTAGTATGCAGGGCCATGCTACCTGGCCTGCCAGGCTCCTCATGGGTTCAGAAATTTGGTAGCAGGAGAGTAGCAATCTCTTCCCCACTACCACATTTTCAGATCCATAGGGAGCTCTGAAAGCCAGATGACACGGTGCCAGGGGCTGAATCTGGCCCCCCAAACAAGGTGTTGAGCACCCCTATTCTAGTTCTATTCAGCAGCACAATTATATTTCTTCAGATATTAATGGGATTATAGAATAGCTAAAATTAAAAAGCGCATAAGCATTTTCAGAATCAGGAAA